CCTGTGAGCTCAGTGCCATCCTTTCCATCGTGGCCTCGAGGCTGCAAGCTCAGCCCCGGCATGCGGAGCAGCTGCTGGCCCTGAGTGGGTTTCCACTAAACTCCTGTAGCCTGGATATGAAGTTTAGCTGCTTTTGACCAACTCTGCTGTGAAATCTTGGGAAAGATGTTTGTTTGCCTAGCCAGCGCTCAGGAAGGTGACTGCTTTGGGTGGTATTTGGGAGGAGTGGGCATGCAGAGCTGCTCCCCGTGGGTCTGTGCTCTGCAGAACCCCTGGTTGTGGATGGGAGGTGTGGATGTGATGTATGGAGGATAGGGAGGTTTTTGGATTTTTAGTTCCCTTTTACAGAGAAAAATCTGGGCCATTCAAATCATTTGCTTTTTCCCTTGTGCTGACAATTTAACAGCCTTTTTAAAAGCTTTGGTTTCTCTCAAGTATGCTCACCCCATACTTGTTTTAATTCTTGTGTGGAGGCCTGGAGCTTAACAATTATTTTGCTTAAGCTCTCTGAGACTTGCCATAAAACTTTTTTTTTCTTTTTTTTTTTTAAAACACACACATGCTAATGATCCCCATCAGATCATATTGTTAAATAGGGAATAAAATACTTGCACCAGGATGACATTATTTTAAAAAAATGTTAAAAGCAGGCCAGCAGAGCCCATTTCAACAGTTTGGCTCTGAAATAATTTGCACAGATTTGTTAGAGTTAATTTGTTGAAAAGTTCAGTGTTTGTACAGGCAAGACCTAATTTCCACACTGAGACACAAGAAGCAGAAGAGGAGTAAGTGGGTGTCCAGCATTTGCAAGAGCAGGATGGTGGGAACTTCTCTCCCTCCTACCCTTCTCCCCTGGTGCAGGAATGTAAAAGCAGTGTCAGAAGGCTGGGAAAGTCAGCTTTGGATTTTTGTGGACTCCTTGCAAATCAGAGGAACCGTCTGGCTCAAATCTGCATTTAGGGCCAAGAGAAAAGGATTTCCTGCTATTTAGTTGCTTGAGGAAGGAAAGGATTTACCTCTCCGCTGTAACAGGACTTTAATTTTTCTCCTTTTTAATAAGAATATTGTAACGTAAGACTGCAGTAATAAACCTGTGAAAGCAATCACGTCTCTTCCCCCTCTTCCTTCACGCTCCCCAACAACCCCCCTGCCCAAGCATCCTCCTGTTGCAGCTCCCAGCCCCAGCAATGGCTTGGCATCTCCCTGCACTGTGAAAGAGAGAGTTGGGGGGGGGGCAGCTGCTGCGACATCGCTCCCTCGGACGGCTGCTGCGCTCAGCCCGCCATCTGGATCCAGTTAGCTCTCTCGGCAGTAGGGCTGAGTCTCATTTCCTCCAACCAGTAATGTTATATAGGCAGTGATCCTGTTCTGCCCTAACATAATTGAAAATTATGTGTATTGTAGACTTGCAGCGCTGAAATGTAGACTTGTAAAAATCTGTGGCTCAGGTAGCCTGTGGAGATTGAATTTGGCACACAATGAAGCTTTTATGTAAAGTAAGAATTATAAGCCACCACATCAATATTGTGTTACAGGCATGACAATTCTTGGATGAGGAGGCCTTGAGTCAGGCTTGTCACCTTAAACAATGCTAATATTTCATACTTTATCAACTGGACTGGCATTTTGAAGCCAGCAAATTTAACTTTTTTTTCTTTTGCAAATATCCCACCATTGAAGCTGTGGGTTCCCTAACTTGACACAGGCATTGGCTGTGGGCTCTGACCCCCTCTGCTTATCTGACAGACAGAACTTTTTGCCCTTGGCGGGACTGGGACGCTGCTCTGGATCCAGGCCACTTAGTAGAGCTCATGGAAGTTGCTTTGTCAATCCCTTGTGTGTTACTACTTTCCCTTGGGTGTGGTTATTTGCTTTTATTTTGTCTCCCACTGGTGTATTATCCACTGGTGGAAATGGAAGCTGTCCAGATCTGTGCTTGTGTGCAAAACTGAGCCCTCTGGGTTTGGACCATTTTCTGCTGGACTTCATGTGCATGTCCAAGAGGAGAAACTGTTTGTGCTTTAGCCTTTGCACTGTAAGACTTCTTGGATCCTCTTTGGCAGGGGTGGATAAGAGAATGACTTTACTGAGAATCCAGAGTAAGGGTTTTAAAAGAAGAAGTGTAACAATAAGATCTTCTGAAACCTTAGGTCAGCCTGGTGTGGGAGCTGAAAGTACATGCTGAAACTGTGGGCTCTTGTGGGATGAAGGTGGAGTGGGAGCAACCGTACCTTCTTGCTCTGTTTCTTCTAATGGAATTTATTGCTAGTAAAAGCCAGCAGAACTGACAGTCCTGAAAGCTTTGTAATCCCTGCAATAATTACTGACTGGATGGGGTCTGATGTGAGCTTGCCCCTGCTGCTTGTCAAGGCCTCTGTCTGCCCTTGGGGCAATCTCAGAGAAGCCCACGTGTTTCTTGGCTTGTGTTTTAGGGTAGCTGCTGATCTGAGTTCCTTGTGGATTGTCATGGTTGATATCCCAGGGATATTCCAGGGTTGCTTGTGACCATGGAATGGTCATGGACAAATTAAGGTGGTTCATTTATTTTGGTAGGTAATGACTTGGCCATTTCCTGAAATGCCACTGTTCAAGCTGTCAGGTTCTTGTAAGGGCTTCAGCTGTGGCAGCAGTAGGTTTTCACTCTCCAGAATGGTTATGGACTTTGAAGCAGTTGTGTACCATGCAGCACACATCCTGTGAGGACATTTTCCTTGGAAGAAGGGAAAAATACTTCACTGATTGGCTGGAAAGCCTCTGGAAGCCAGTAGAAGCTGCGACCTATCAGGACCATTTCTGCAAATTTGTGTGCCCCTCTATGTGTTGGTGTTTCAATTGCTGTCCAAGAAAAGTGATGAACTTCTGAAAATGCAGCAGTTAACTTATTTAAGAGTGCCATCCGCAAATCTGAAACATATCACATTTCCCCTCAAGTTAAAAAGCTCTCAGTTGGCTTAGGTTTTGGGTCCATTTTCTGTGCACTTGGGTTGGATTTTTATGCACTTTTTTTAAACCACTAAGGGTTAGAAAGTTGCTATAACATCATCTCAACTTTAAAATTTATGTTGTGGTCACATATATTGAGGAACAGGGATTTGATGCAAGTGATCAAGTATGTGGAGGCTTACAGTCGAGTCGTAAGAGTTAGAGATGTCACTTATGGGTAGACTACTTCTGTTTTGTTTGGGTTTTATTTCTTGTTTTTAAGAAGTGCTGAAACATTCTGGTCCACATTGCACAAATCCCAAATGTGAAGATGAATAAAAACAAGACTTCTTGGAACTTGAGGAACTTGTATGGGGCACAAATCCAGAGTATGGGTTTGTTTATTTGCATTCCAGTAGCTCAGAAAACTCAGGCCCTCCAAGCGATGGGAATTGGTAATACATCCTCCTGCTGACTCCTGCTTTTTGGGCACCTCAGTGCCCAGAGTCTTGCAGCAGACAGACCTTCCATGTGAGCAAATGTTTTGCATACACGAGCAAATGTGATAGTGATGTGCTGAAAGCATGGAACCAGATCTCCTTCCTTCCTTCATGGAGATTTAGATACAGCTTCCGTTTTTTCGCCTGGGGTGGCAGGGAGTTGTTTGTGTGTGGTGGTTCTTCAAGATTACTCTTACTTACAAAAAAAAAAGAATGGGTAAACATAACTAGATATTTTCTAGGAATAAATCTGTCAGGTCAACCAGAGTCTAGTGATAAACAGGAGCTTCTGCAGTGACGTGATCTATGGGTACATCTGCTTTTCTTAGTTCTGGGAGGGGGGCTGAAGGTATGTGGCTGTACACATTTCTTCCAGCACAATACAGGGCTTTTCGAGGTCATGTATTAACCTGTGTGCCTAATTGGGACCGCAGCACCATGAAGAGAGAAAAGCTTGGGCTGAAATTACATTTAGATGTACAGTGCAGAAGTCTGTTTGGGCTGACTGGTTTCTCTGTGGGCCTGCTCTTATTCTCTTGTTTGGAGTCAAGCACTTCTGGTGCAGTGATCTGGGTACCAGCTTGAGACTTCACCTGTTTCGTGGAAGCCTTCAGCTCTGCTGCGCGATCCGGCTGAGGTGCAATGACTCCTTCAGTGAGATACAGCAAGAGGACGTGCTTGAGAGCAGAAGTTTTAGGCAGTACTTGATGCTGGTTAAATCTGTGGGAACATTCTGCTCCTTCTTGAAGAGTAGCTAAGCTTTTCTTGCTTTCAAATCAACACCCCCTTATGCTGCAGCCTTGCTGCCTGCGTGTATTTGGCCTGTGTGCCGATGGCTGTGACATAAAGAAGTTGTGGCTGTCCCTGAGCTCTTGGCCATCACGGCTGCACTCTCACCTTTGAATCAGCAACAGGAGAGCTATTAAGTTTGGCCTTGTCATTAAGTTACCCTGTGCAAGCCACTTAAGGGTTGTCTGACAGAAGATATACAAGAAGAAAATAATCCACAGTGACTTCCAGAAACAGTGAGAAGTAGAGAAAATAGGTGCCAAGACTCAGAGATGCTGAGTCATTTTGGGCTAGACCTCTACCTTTGAGGCTCATACAACACAGGGAAGCTCGAGCAGTTGACATGGTGCCTTTGTTGAAAGAAGGCTGACAGATGACCCATTCAGTACTAAGATCATATTCTTAACCCATGATATGTATTTTCCCTCTTCTGAGACTGATATCCACCTTCCTCTCCTTTGTCCCATCCTCTTCATGGTTATGCTATTTTCTTTCTGCGTGGGTTTTATTCTTATAGATTTGCTACAATTAGTAAAATTAATGTAATAATGTCTTTGCAATTTGATATTTTTTTTCTTATTCCTGAACTGTATAGCAGTGGTATGAATTGTTAGTTCTGCACAGATTTTGTCTTCACAAACATGTAAAGTTGTCTTAATTTTTGTTTCAGTTCCTTGCATAAGTTTTAATTTATACTTTTTTTATCCATGTTACCTAAGATTTGTTATTTTTTTTGCCTTTATTTTCTGAACTCATTTTTCTTTCCCCATTTCTGTTTCCTCCATCCAGTATCTGCAGATGAAATGGCCACTGCTTGATGTTCAGGCAGGGAGCCTTCAGAGTAGACAAGCCCTCAAGGATGCTAGGTCTCCATCTCCAGCACACATTGTTGTAAGTAAACACAGAAAGATGTTCTTCCTTTATTTGAAAAAAAAAAAAAAAAGGCATTTGACATTAATGACATTGGTTGTCATCAGTTTTCTTTCACACAGACCAAAGGAGAAATACCTCAAAACATACAAAATCCCTAATGAGTCCATGGTAAAAGGAGGGAATACATTTGTTATTGCTGGACTGTTTGTGAAATTATCATCCATGTGCCTTACAGGAGAGCAGGGAATCAAAAATGCTCTAAATTTGCAGAATTACTTGGTGGCAGTGAAGTCCAATCAGGCTGGTTTACACGTCTGACAGTATTGAACTGAAGAAAGTGAAGAGACAGTCTGGAAAGCATTAGAAAAATCAAAACCAAGCCTGTTCTATGGCCTTAACTGAAAGAAATCTTTTCTTATTGCAAAATCTTGAATGAAGGTTTGTGAGAGTCGGTCAGCATTTTACCTGGGTGAAGGCTCAACAGAGCCACGTTCAACAAAGCATGTGTCCCTTTGTGTTGTGATGACTTCTTATTTAGTGTAAAATGTGTTATCAAATGTTTACTACTACTTGCAAAATATAAAAATCTCTTTATACTGGGCATAACTTTTTAAAATAGCTTTATTTATTAAGTTTTAACAAAATTTTCAAATCTTGGTTAATTTTTCTTGTGCTTCTATTGTAAAAACAATGTTGAGTTTGTAATGTTTGGTACAAATTTACATGAGAGTGGTTTTATTTTACTTTCTAAATTAGCATCCACAGATGGAAATTGTTTGTTTTTATGGTGATATGCAAGAGAGGTGATATGCAATGACCCATTCTCACCCATATCCAGTGTCAGTGCCATCTCAGCTCTGACTGTTCATCTGGGAAATTTATCTCTGGAGAAGATGGCATGTAGTGGGTTAGAATATTTCTTCTGAAATAATTCATCATTAAGTTTTACATGATTTTTTTTCTACTTTTTTGTAACCACTGGATGATAAGGTGAATTCCAGAAAAAGAAACATTAGTTGTTCTTTATCTTTTGCTCTACAGTCTAAAGCTGACAGAGCTAGTAGATTATCCAAGACACACACTGGTTTTGTTAGAAATCTGAAATCATACTAAACATTTTTGAGGAGCTTCTGTTTTCATTGTTGTCTCTTTAAATTGAGGATCGTTAGCCCTTTGTTACAAGTGTCATAGTTCTTTATTTAAAAAGAAAAAAAAAAAGGGATTCCTGTCTTTTAGAATTCACAGCTTCTAAACCATCCCTCAGTCTGTCAGAGAGCAATCAGAACAGGACTGCTATTTGCCCAGTTGGTATCTAGTGCTGGCTGCTTCACTTTTTCAGAATGATTTTCCTTTTCCTTCCCTGGGCTGTCACTGGAGAAAGAGATCAGAGGAAAGATGTGTGGCTGGTTATTCAGAAATCTACAGTCATCAAAACCTGCTATAATCTTATTCTTAATAAGAAATGAACTAGAGTCACTTTCTTACTTGAATTTTCTTTTTTTTTTTAACTTCTGTGCTAGAGGACTGACACAGGACATAGGAATGTTCCTGGGGCTCTGGAGCTGGTGTGGTGCAGTGGTGTCAGGCTTGTAGGAGGTGATGGAGAGGGAGCAGGAGGTTTCTCCTTGGCTAGTTGCAGCCTGGGAGGACAGGCTGAGTTTGGTTGGGATCACCTGACTTCCTACTGCTGAGCATCCACTGTCCCAAAGCCTCTTGCCATTCAGGAGAGCAGGCCTTTAAAAGCCAAAGCAGCTTATCCTACAGGGGGAAGTTGGTTGGGATCGTGCCCCCCCCCCCAGCCCTCTCCATCCCTTCCACCCAGGTGTGGGCAAGGGGGAAACAAGTGGTCAACACAAATATACAAAAAAAGGGTTCAAAAATCACAAATCATTTTGGAAAATGAAGCAAAATCTGCTTCCAGGGAGACTGAGGTTGATCTGCTTTGTATTTTGACCATTTATGGGGTTCTTATGGGTCTCTTTAAAAGCTGTTTCACTCTGCTATTCAATAAAAAGCATATTTACCATAGCAACCACTTAGGCCATGAGGAACATATACTACCTCCGAGATGGAGGCCACCTTCCGAAAGAGCCACAGCTGGCATTTGTAATGTGATCTTTTGTGCTACTTATAATGTTGGAGGGAGAGGAGGCGGAGGAGGGAGCCGGGGGAGAGCAGTGGGTTTTTTGGGGGGGTGGAGGTTCTGCACGGTTTAATGTTTATTTCTAGCAGCAAACTGTTTTGCCTTGTTCTGTTAAAATATATAAATAAGGGGCAGCTTTTTCCACCCTTTTTCTTGGCATCCACCCCAGGCCACATTAATTTTGTGGAGTGAAAATGGTCTTGTTTTTTGGTAAATAAAGTTAGAGCGGGTAATGGCATTCGGGGGAGATGAAGTGGCTGCAGATGCCAGTTGGCCTGGGATGTGTCAGGCATCTCTGGTGTCCCTGTTGCTGCTGCTGCGCCTGCCTACAGCACCTGGGACCTGGCTGCTCTTGCACAAGGCTCTACACCCATTTCTGCATTTGTGAAAACGCGATTAATCTTTTTATGGAACAATGAGGGATATTTCATGGGCATGCTGATGTTTCTGTGCAAGTGTAATGTGGAGGGATAGAAACTGGTTCTCTACCCTCATTACTGTGTTTTGTCTACCCATCAAGTGTACCTGTGCCAGTTTTTCATCTTTAAATCAGTTGGACTGCCCTGAAGATCTGTAGGAAAATGCTAACATCTGCAAAGCACTTCTTATATTTCCCCTGTATCTTAAATCAGGATTTGAGGCCAGTCTTTATAGCTGGATTACAAAGGGAGGAAAGGAGAGCGTAGGGGGTTGTGTTTTTTTTTAAATTTTTGTTTGTTTCCCCCCTCCCTTTTTTTCTTTTTTCTCCCCTTTTTCCTCTCTCTCTTTTCTCTCTCTCTCTTTTCTCTCTCTTTTCCTTTATTTTCCCCCCCTACCTCTTCCCCTTTTTCCCCCCCTTTTTAACTCACTTACTTCTCAGAACTTGGCTGTGACAACCACAAGCTTCATGTCAGAGCTGCAGCCTTTATGCCCAGCTCTGATGAAACTCCTCTGAGTAGTTAAGCTTAATGACTCAGGGCTGCATAACATGACCATCTATAATGTCTTAAGTAAAATCTGTACTATTTGTCAGCCATCCTCCTTTCAGATTTGTTTAAGAACATTAAGTTAAGACTACAAAAATTGAAGCAAAAGACCAGCATGAATAATTTGGCTGAATTGCTGCCTCCAGTGCTGAGGGCTGGGTTAATACTGCTTTTTCATGGTGCTTGAGAGAGTCTCCAAGGCCCATAATGAGAAACAGAATATTAAACTGAAATTATGTTCAGTATGTCTTGAGGAAGGTACAGCATGAGGCTCCATTTAAGACCAATGTATTTATTTGCATTTAGGTGCTTCACTGGTCTGTTAAGATTCTTGCATCTTGCTCTGGCACAGTCATGCTGCTTATCTGTGTCCAAGGGTGAAAGAAAACTGGGGGGAAAATTGTTTTAACAGTATGCTATTAAGCTTGCTAGGTGAAAATTTTGAATGCAACCTGCAGATAGTACTAATATGAGGCTGGGATTTGTTTTAAGTGTTTTTAAGTGTTTTAAGAGGGTTATTTCCCTTCTTTTTTCTGACTTTTGATTTCATTGAAGGTGTTAAAACTTTGTAATTTTAGCAGGAAGTTTTGGATGTAAAGCATACCCTGGCTGGGTGCTTCCAAGCTGCTCTAAGGGGGTAGAGTGCTACTTGTCCTGAAATCCCACATTCACTGTGCACCTGATCTGATCCACATGTGTGCTACCACCATGGTGATAAGGATGAGAGATGAGTGCCCTAGGAGTAGGAGTCTCATATGAACATTTTCTGTTGCAGTGTGGACAGGCAAGTGAAAATGAGCATGGTATGTCTGTTCAAGATCTCAAAAATCAGCTCACTGCAGCTATCAAGCTCCTTTAAAACCATTTTTATCTCTCTACATTCCTACAACCATAAGGAGAAACCCAGTGCTGTTCTTCCCTGTCCTCTGCAAAGTAAACAGTGACTTGACCATACCCTGTCTTGGGCAAGAGTGTGGGGTGATTGACCAGTCCAGGGATCCTACCTCCTGCAGACTGTACAAAGGCTTGCTTTTAGCCTCCTTTGCATCAGATAGAAACATTGAGAACCTGAAATGATGGTGTATTGGTACAATAAATTTCTTATAAAACAGTTAAAAGGTTTAAAAACTTTCCTCATTTTGAAGTAAATGTAAATGTTACCTTGAGGTAACAGGACTTCCAGTACTTTTTGGCCTGGGTTTTCTAATATGTAATGAACACAGTCATATTGTAGACGGAATCCCGAGGAACAAAGAATCACTGTGCAGTGATTCTGCACTGTGTATCTAATTTTTTTCTTTTTTTTTCTTAAGAAAGTAAAAATCCGTTTTCAAAATATATAACAACCAAAACTGAAGGCAAAACCATCTGAAACATACTGAGTGTTCTCAGCCATTTTGAATTGCCTGGACAACCAGCATCTGGGACTGCTTGATGGTTTGGAGAGATAAGGATTTTTTTTCCCAGAGTAGCTGAAATTGAAGCTGCACAGTCTGCCCTGCCTGGTCCTGAATTTTTTTATTTTATGTGGTTTATACTTGTGCACTTTAGGGGGCGGGGGGGAAAGGCAAATATCTACAAGTAATAGCTATTTTTTTTCTTAGCTAGATTTTAAAATGCACCTACAGTGTCACAGAAGTGACCATGGGCCAGAAGTGGGGTGTCTCTAGATGTATATGTGGTCCTGTATGCATAGAGCCATCTGCAAGTGTAATCTTGTAACTTCCACTCACAGTGCCCCAAGAGAGCTTTTAAAGCTCTTGCTTTGTTTGTCTTTAATGTTCTGCTGTAGTGAGGTTGCTCTTCCTCTGCAGTAACCTCTTGAGATGTTCTGGGATTCCAGGCCATGTGTGCTCATGACAGGACATCGTCTTCCCTCCCTCCCTAGAGATCTGCAGGGTGATAAAGAA